ACATTCCAACTCTTATCTGTAAAAGATTGTAACTAAAATACCGGAGTTTTTGCCCGGAATATATTTAATTGGAGAACATGATTGATGACACCCAGCCTGTGAAGGTGCTTAGTTGGAGAACCTGGTTTATGACACACCCAGGGGTGGGGAGGAAACAGGGTCCCAGGGGACTGTAAATTACGTAGGCCAGAGTTGGCTTCATCCAGGGTGGTACCAGTATGTCGCCTCTAATGAATCCTTTTTTCAAGTTTTTTGAAGGTTAGCTCAAGAATTATGATTTAATTAGAGCGATTTCTGGAATCCTGACTGCCTGGACAGTCTTTCAAACTGACCTGGATTATCTGCGCAGCTGCTTCCGGGGTTCCTTGGCGTAGATCCTGACCGTTTATAGACAGGACTTTGTCGTTCTGACGCAGCTTCCCATTCTTGGCTGCCAACCCTCCGTCCAACAGGTCCAGAATAAAGATCCCAGGCACGTCCGTTTTTCTGATCAGTTTAATGCCGAGGGGTTCGGATCGGTCTCTTTTGACGAGGATAACGTGGACCACTTCCTGGTTCACAACCGGCGGAGCCGTCCGGTTGGTAAAGCCCTTCTCTTGGAGCACTAGGAAATGGAGCGCATCACAGGGTTGGCGCAAGAGTGCGATGGCTTGGCAGTGGGTCACGCTGCTGATGTTCACGCCATTCACCTGGCAGAAGGACAGAAACAAGAGCTGGTCAGAAGATGGCCTCCTCTCGGGATACCCTTCCCTCCTCTCCGTACCAGGGCAAAAGAAAACGAACGAATGTAAGCGCCGTAGGGACTGGCATCCTGGTGCCCTATGCATTGCTTGCTGGCAGCCTGCCATGCTTGAAGGGGAGGGAGGGCTGTGGGGCAGGATAAAGGAAGGCGGAGCTCCAAGGTCCCACTGTGGAATGCAGAGTCAATCACCCCGCAAAGGTCTCAGAGACCGTTACCCAAACCATTTGTGGGTGTCTGATTGGACACTCAGTGATAACCAGGGCGAAAGGTGGGAACAACCATACGCCTTGGGCACAAAAGCCTCAGATCTTGGTTCTTCTGTAGCCCACTTGGGTGTTAAAAGTGTACTTTTGGCAAACTGTGGTCTCGAAAATCTTTCTTTTTGAACTTACAAAGTTGGGACAGCTGACAGAAACATTTTCTTTCTCTAGAAATTTGCCCTGAGTTGCTTAAATAAAGCTAAATAAAATAGGATTATTCTGAAATATTAAATATATTGGTTGTACTGGGCTCAATTGCGGCTGTAAGTTGAGGACCACCTGTACAACCTTCAAAAATCCAAGCCTGATGGTCTCACTACTTTTTAACTCTGCTTTTAAAATGTGATTTTAAAATCAGCTGCTACAGCCGATTACCAACCGGTCTTTTTGCCACGGGGGTTTAACGATAGCAAACCCACCTCTAGGATGTGGTCTCCAGGTGCGAGTTTTCCATCGGCAGCCACCACGGAATCCTGAAATATCTCCTGCACAACGATGTTCCCGAGAGGGGTGTCTTTGCCACCCACTATCCGCATGCCAAGCTCTTCCTCGGGGTCCTCTCGGTGGATTTCGACGGTGTTTGTCTCCGCCAGAAGACTCGCTCTCTGAGGTAAATCTGACAGAGAAGTCAGAAAGGGCACGAGTAAAGAGGAGGTCCTGGATTTTTAACAATGTACAGCAAATGTGAGCAACCTGCATCCATCCCATCCTTTTCTCACCAGTGGTCCTGCTATCTCCAGCTTGGTGAAAGGTGGAATTTTGGCTACTTGAGGAACCGTCTCACAGTTGACCCGCCCTGTCCCACCTTCAC